CCCATTTGCAGTTCTTAGTGCCTTGCCTTTGGAGTATGGTGACTGTAAGAAAGTAAGGTGGCTGCAGTGAAAGTTGTCATCTTACACCCACTAGGGCCCGTGGTGTACCGAGTTGCATTCAAGGCATTCTGCTCCATTCACCCGCTAACTAGGCAAGCTCGTTTGCCTGGCCCCAAGCTTTCGCTGTTGACCTGGACATGACATTTTCATGAGGGATCTTGGGCGTTTGGGATAGGAGTGGGTCCCTAACGACCGCTCAGAATGTTTGCTCAACGTTGTCTCCTCTAGCACTTTGGCTCAAGAACCTGAGCACAAAGCAGCGGTGGCAAGCAAATCTATTTATTGGTGGTTCATGGTCGCCATATTACGGTTCCGCCATTGAGGCTGACTACATCAGGCATGATCACAGTCGTAAAAAGTAGAAATAAGTAAGTGTTGAGCTTGCGTGGGTGATCCATACCCGTGGTGCTGGATTCTCCGTGAACTAGGTGGTAATACGTCACTCGGCTTCGGCCTTTACGTGATTCGGTAATGCGTTCTTAGCTTGAATGCCGCCTTTTCTGAAGTCAGTAGTAATCATTACATAAGTGTGTTGCGGCAATTTTTGCGTACATCGCTGTGTGTATGTCCCATAGCGCTTCCTAATTGGCCTGTGCCACCTCGGGCAAAGGTATCGTGGAGTGCAAGCGCCGAAATCTCCTGTACGCTGTTCTGTATAGTGAGTACGCACGTGAAAGTTGATCAGTAAGTATAACATCCGGCTCTTTGCCACCTGAATAAACGTCGTATGTTTGGCAGCCGAAGTTGGCTGCAACTTATTTAGGCTGATTTCCTATGAACTAGGGACGTAACTAGGACCACGCAGTTGGTGCGGAAAGTCGAAAGTGTCCTATACGGACTATTGATAATTAGTATTTGGGGTTCCCGATGTACTGCAGCGGGTTTTTGTGCCTCGTCACATTGCCACTATTTATCTCGATTTCCGAGATGCCCTCATTTCCAGGGTTCTCCCTAAGTGTAATTTCACACTTTGATTGAACTAGCATTTCTTGGCTAGGGTCTCAATCCAACCGTGTCAGCTACTAGAGTCGCAAATATAGTCTGTACACCAATAGTTTTACGAAGGCTGGTCAATCCGACTAGGTCTTAGGCGTCGTTCGGTAAGCCAGGTTGAACGTGGTCATCTGTTCCGTCTCGACTCCCGGGTTTCAACTCTTCCTTTTCACCTTATCGTGCTTGCCAATAAACGTCTACCTGGTCATCTAATTGGAAGTCAGAGGACCGTGAGATTAAGCGCTTGTCTGTCTACCGCTTTCAGAAAGCTTGAAGTAAACAAAGTCCCGTTATGGGCCGCGTTCCGTGCTAGAATCCCGCACCTCGAGAACGATATCTCTGTTAACCAATGCATTTCTCGGCATATAAGGATATCTTAGACATTACAATGAGGAACATCTTGCTGAGGGAAAAACCTGCGCAGTTCATGCGACTTTCGCTGCGGCTA